GAATCAACCTTGTGTGTTATTAATTATTTCAAATGATCATTTCAAAGCTTACCTTTGGTGGATAAAACACAGAGAGCACTCGTAATGATTAGTAGAGCCGCTCTCTTGATAATTAAAAAATCTGCGCTCGGCATCCCTCGTGTGAACTGTTTCAACGATAATATTTTCAAACGACGCTTTGTTGAAGATGGAGGCTAAATATGCGCTTGAGTCACGGAGTGTGTTGTATGCCACGAGACGACGCTGTTCAGACGTAAGGTGAGAATTACGTCTAATCTGGGTAATCATTTACTTAGCGGTCACGCACATAACTCAATTGAGGCGATTCTTGAAATTTCATTCAATATCAAATAGCAAGCAAATCACTGGCGCTATCCCCATTAGAGCGCACATTCTTATTATGCTCAATGAAAATTTAACAAGTAATGCCAGAGGTAATATTTTCAACACCAAAAATAGCGAAAGCGCACGTTTGAAATATCTTTTCCCCAAGCTACAGTACCCTGTACATATTTTTGAATACTTTTTCAGTTTCTGACCTCAGAGACAAATACTGCTGTTTTGACAGTACCAGAGTCGTACTGCTGTTCAAAGATCACAAAGCAGCCGACACTGTAAGAAGGCAACTAGGGGATTCGAGCAACAAAATTGGAAAAACTATACAGCCGGTGTTCACAAGTAGAAAAAATAAAGACGATGTTGAGACGCGCGCGGAAAGGCCTCCGCTAATCGACCAGCAAAGCATTGGGTCTTTATTCAAACGTGGCTTGTGCGATGCAAGCTATGTCGGCTATACTCGCCGGTACCTATTTCAACGTGTTTCTGAACATCAGAGCTCGGCCGGAATTGGAAACCACGTCAAGAAAGACCACAATTTGGAACCAATGAACCTCAAAAGAGAAATGCAGGAGTCAACGTGATTGCGTGATATATGAAATGTTGTATATCAGAGATCTTAGGCCGATAAACAATACTCAATCAATCACTTTGATTGACATGGTTTCCCGGAAAGTCACATTTCTGGTAACTTGACATATTTCGCCACCTTATGCACAAGAATGTACTAACGCAAAAACAAACCTACACATTTGCTTGACAATGACATCCGACGACGTCGATAAATATAACAACTAATTTCGTAAATTTAATTTACCTTTCTAATTTTACCATGTAAAAGAATAGGCGCTCACTACTTCACAGGCAGCAGAGCAGGCGCGATTTTGGCGAACGATGGCTTAGTGTTTCCTTCAAAAAAATTACAGCCGCCGTCGTTGATTTCAATGGCAGTGGATAGTTGTAGAGAGAGTGAGATTGGTAATTAGGGGGGTGGGTGACGGTCAGAAAGGAGGAGAGGGGAGGGGCCATAAATAACACGACTTCTTGACTGTACGTACATTGGGTCACGCTAAAATTTTCCGTCTATTTCAAGTTTTCCTTCTACATCACTGGAATCCCTTAATATTCTGGACTGCTCTTTTTACATTGGGAAAAAAAAAACTAAATTTATGGTTGAAGCTGGGCATTTCTGCGCAGAAAAAAAAGTAAAAACAAAATAAAACAAATGCAAAAGCAAACAAAAAGATAAGCAAAATTACAATACCATAAATTATTATAGACTATCCGCTTAGCTTTGACTGGCCCTTAGGGCTGTACGCAGCTAAGCCCGCGTTTTAAACCTGACATCGCACTCAAATTCATTCGTTAAGCGCAAAGCTGGATATTAACTTTTTGTCAGTGCTACTGTCCCCACCACAAAAGTTGACGATTGATTAAAAGGGTTTACGAGCGGTGAATATCTCCTAAACAGCTAGTCTACAAAGTGAAAATCAGTGAGGATAATTAGAACTTCAGCAATGCAGTTTGTCAAGGAAAACTTTTTAGCCGAGCCTGTGTGGTTTCCACTGAAAGTGCTTCTCTTACAGATCTTTTTCCTTGGACGTCATATTACATTATCAGTAGACGGAAGTAACAGCAGCCTTGTAATAATTTTCTTTTATTATAAAAATTTCAATTTCCTCGACTGTGGTTGATTGAAAAAAAAATCCAATTTTCACTAATTCACTTGCTAAGTTGCTCACGGACAGTTCAATAAGCCAATCACATTCAAAGTTGTAGTAGGTTTCGATCACAATGACATTAAACAATTTATGCCTCCTTTGTCAGTCTTTTAAAGCAGATTTTTTCCTTCTGTCATAACTTGACTTTTCTTCTTTTCTCTGAAATTATAATTTTTATGCGCGCCCGTGTATTATTCTCCATGTACCATTCAGAGTTTCCCGCCAAAAATCGCGGCTGCACGATTGTTACAAACTCGCTTCCCGTCTGCGATGAACACAAAGCTTAAATGGAGAGATGTCGTAGAAAAACAATATTGAACTGAGGAATTTTTTGTGGAACATCAAAGGGGTAAGGAAACATTAAGTTAAAGATCAACATATCGCGAAAGTGCTCGCATTCATCGACTTTCGAAGGGAATATGAGTGAAAGAACCTCGAACAGTCGCTGGACACATTTGTCTCTGTTTGTTTGTGCACAACTGAATATTTTCATTCAGAAGTCGATACTTCAATAAGCTTTCATTATTACACCATCATCAGAGAAAACCTAACGTTTTTTTTTAACAGCATGAAATAAATGTGTATTCAGTTGTTGAAATACAATAATGTTTGAATATTTTAATTGGGCTTCCTCGCCGAACGAATGTTTAGAGCCTGATCGTGACGACAGTGGAACATTAGCAGCAAGAATTGGTGCATGAAATTACAGACTCGGGAATCAGACAGAGAGTAAGTGATATTTGAACTTTTTTTATTGTTGTTGGTTTTGTTATTTTCATTACCTTTTTATAGTGTGCAAGTGTTGCAATTTGTGATTTATAGATACAAACTCCGGTAGGTTCCCACCCACGGTAAAAGATCTCACCGAGAGGAAAGGGCTGACAGAATTACTCATTCTTTAAAGGGGTAGGGATGGGACCGTTTGTTTCAGTGACCAATTATGTCTAATGTCTGGGGAAATTTATTAAATAAGGGGAAACCAGTTGAGTTGATGTTCTCCTCGAAAGAGACTTTTTTGTTAAAGAAGATAATGTATAAATTGTTAATAAATATATGATATTCGCCAGCCGAGAGGTCCGTATTGGGAAAAACTATGCCCGAGGTACTAAAGACAGAGTAAGTGAATAACATTTTTATGTTTTCCCTTAAACTTATCATAATTCTTCCCAAAAGATCCAGAATGATTTAGGGCTGTAATTACTGTAAGATTTTCCCTAAACCGAACAATTTTTGAGCGAGTAAATGGTAGTTAAAATAGAGGTGATGCATATGCAAATTAAAGAGATGCTTCAAGATTATATTTTCATTTGCGTGATGATAAAGGTGACTTAAAAGGTTTCCAACCAAACTTTGAAACATTTATTTTTACAATTATCTGTCACAATCTGACACCTGTCAATTAGAGAGCGGGTAAGAAAAAAAAAAAAAGGTCGTGTACACTTTCGAAGGAACACCGGAACCAGTCTTGGCAAGGACTGTCAAGACAATTTTTTCTGCAAAAACAGTAAATGATGTTACGGAAATTATTATTCAGTCTCATCGACGATTGACTAATGTCCAAAGTTTTACCTCTGTTCAGTAGTAAAGGCAAGGAAATTAATTGTAAGTAAATTTAATTTAAGTTGAGAGCTTGCTCGTTTGTTTGCTACAATGGAGTGTGTAAACGTGGTCTTTAATTCCCTCCACCAAATATTCATTCGAATGAGACACTTCAACTAGACACAAGGAGATTTAAAGCGACTTTTCTCACTGAATTCCTCTAGTTTCTTTTGTGCAATTTACGGTACAAACGCCTAAATAGCCGAAAGACTCACCGAAAGCGTATTTGCAGTGGAACTGAAAATTTCGCACACCCTTTCACTACGATCATTTTAAATCAATGAGAGTTCCATCGTTAATTCAACTGTAACCAAATACCTCACTTTTTAACTCTCTTGATACTTTTTGTGCAGGATCACAATTAATTACAGACAGGTTTTTTAGGCCGCTTGTCAACCAATTTAATGACACTTTTGCTTATACAAATTCATTTCGAAACCAATATTTTTCTGTCAACCAAAGTGATTTGAGAGAGAGAAAAGAGAGGAATAATAAGTTATTTAGCGGCTTGAGATAGTGACCGAAGTCTTCGCTTAAAAATACTGCTCAGCCAGAAAAAACGAGATATTTATGAAAAATGGCAGTGAAGGTAGGGGTGTACTCGTGGGAAGAGATAAGAAAATATGGACAGCGCTGAGAACCAATCAGATCGCAGGATCCCTTACCGTGCCTCCTGAGGAAAAAAAAAAGATAAACATATTTAGAGCTTTTATTGTAAGCTGAAATATATTTTTGGACTATTGATGTAAAATGAGGACAGATTTATGGAGTTTGTGAAATTTTACACCATTTGGTTTGCCAGAAATACTTCAGAACAAGAAATAAATATAAAGCAACTACGTGGAAAATTATAAATATTTTAATTTGATACTCGGAATAGACTGGTTCCCCAAAAAAGATTTCCCCGCGGAAGCAATCGAATGAAGACTGGCAGGTTTCTATCGCCTGAATACAGTCGCCGATTGTTTACAAATCATTAAAAACTATATTCAATAAAAGTGTCTTGCGGAAGAGCCGTTATTTAGTATCTCCTAGACTTTCCTCGGTTTAAATACCAAAAATCGTCTGAACTGAGTGATGTGCGTGACCGCCAAGTAAATGATTACCCAGATAATACGTAATTCATACCTTACGCCCAAAACAGCCTCGTCTTATTACATAGAACGCATTCCACGACTTAGCGAATATTCAAACCTTCATCCTCAAGAAAGCGTCGTTTAAACATTGTTAAAAAAGCTAATTCGATGCGCGAAGGACGCCAAACGTAGACCGAATGATGAAGGGAGTGGCTCAACTGATCATTTTCAGTATTCTTTTTGTTTTCTCCGCCGAAGGTAAGCAGTAGAATGATCTAATTTGCACGCCATGTTGATACATATGAATGAATACGCTCAAACTGTTAAGTAATTAACAAGCAGCCTAGATGCGATGCAGGACAAGAAAAACTGGTCTTTTTGGGTCGGTTTAATATTTGGCCAAACGATTAACAGTAAGAAAATATGAATAATGACAAATTTGATGCAAAAAGGAGGATGAAAAGCGGCTTTTTTTTCCCGAAGCGAAGATGTTGGGAGCGACAACCGCTAAATCCCGCCACTAATTGAACTTTAATCTGACTTAAAATTTTAAGTGTTTGATCATAGAAAACATTCAGACAAATTCATCCTTCTTCTTGCTTTAGACATGAACCTCTCTGAGTACTATAAAATCATATCAAAGAATTTCATTCAACCGGAAAGTCGTAATTCGCATCATCATCAACTAAACACGCAATTATTTAGAATTGGGCCTAGGTCCGTGTAGGAGATTTGGAGAAAGTTTTCTGTTAAGTGCCAAACTACTATCAGCGAAATCATTTTTGGCTGCAACTCAACGAGTGAGAAAGTAAAATCGATCTCTCTTTCGTCATTGCTCTAAAATGTGAGTTGTCCTATGCACACGCGTGGTTAAGACTTCCGTGTTGCTGATGTCTGTCGGACACTGTTTCATTGATAATTACTCTAACAACGAATGGCTGTTTCTGTCGAATACAATTTTAAAGTGTTGGGTTGAAATTTAAAGTAGACCATGTATATTTCCATTTGACGTTATTTTTATTTCGCTTTGAAAACCATTTGCAATCGACGATCTTGTGAGTGCGTGGCTCATCATGAGGTCGTCGTCACGAATGATGATCTGAAGAAACAAACAAGTATTACCAAACTGTGGATCAGCTGACCGCGGAACCTTCGGAACCCATATTCTTTTCTGAGAAAAAAAATCAT